TGGCCTTAAACTTTTCATCTTCTTGCTATAGCCTCCCATGTGCTGGAATTACAGACATGTGCTACAATTTCTCCACAGAATTTATACTTATATTTCTATATTTTCTGAGCAGTAATTAATGCCCCTGTTTTCACCCCAATTATGGCACATCCCCAGACCATTTTATTTTATTTTATTTGTCCCTTTCTGACTTATACATGGAGGTACCCAGCATTTATCAAATGATTCATTTATCAAATGAATCAACTTAGGAACTGAAAGTTCATCTTTCGTCTCTGAAAGCAAAGCCTCGAAACTTCTCATCAAGCCCTTTAAGTGGATGGATGCCTCTTGACATCCGCCTGGGGCTCATTCCCTGCCCCACTTTGCAGCACATCTCTGTGTCAAAAGGAGAAGATCCCACAGCCAGATCTCATGGCCAGATCCCACAGCTGGAAGGGATAAAGCCATGGGCTTCCTGTGTCCCCCTCCTCGGCTGTTTTCCTAAATGAAGCCTGTCCTCCTGAGGATCAGTCGTCTGTGGCAGAGCTGGGAAGATGGTCTTCTTCAGACTGTCCCCCTCCAGGTCCTTGGACAGGGTAGAAAGCAGCTAGCAATAATTGCTGACTGATAAAGTGAGGTGGAAACAGCCTCAGCTGAAGGGAAGTGGAGAGATGGGCTGCCCCTGGGATGTGGCTCCCCTGGCTTGATTCAGAGCCACCTGCCCTCTGCCAGGTCTGAGCTGCCTCCTCTCCTCAGTAAGGCCCACCTGCACTATCCTGAGCGGTTTCATATTCCTCCCCACGGCAGTCACTGTCTTTTTAGTTTCATTATTTCTTTTAGTTTTTTTCTGACAATGTGGGAGTGATGAATGGTGATGTGTGTGAATGTGTATGCATGTGTGTAGAGGCCAGGGGTGGATGGAGGTGTCTTCCTCTATTGCCTTCCTCCTTGTTTTTGATATAAGGTCTTTCTCTGAACCTAGAGACCATCTTCCTACCCCTTTGAGCTTAGCTGGCTGATCACAATCCCCCAGGATCCTGTCTCAGCCTCTCTGGAGGGGATTAGCATTTATATCCTGCTGGGCATCCAAACTCAGTTCCTTGGGCTCCTTAGCAAGCACTTTACCTCCTTAGTTTGGGTTCCTACTGCTGTGATGACAAAAGCAAGTTAGGGATGGAAGGGTTTATTTGGCTTATACTTCTGTATCATAGCTCATCACTGAAGGAAGTCAGGACAGGAACTCAAATGGCAGGATCCTGGAGGCAGGAGCTGATACAGAGGCCATGGATAGGGTGCTGCTTACTGGCTTGCTCTGTGGCTTACTCAATCTGCTTTCTTTTAACCCAGGGCCACCAGGATGACACCATGCTGTCCCATCAATCACTAATTAAGAAAATGCCTTATGGTTTTGCCCACAACTCTGTCCTGGCACTCACTCTGGAGACCAGGCCAGGCTGGCCTCAGACTCACAGAAATCTGCCTGCCTCTGCCTCCCGAGTGCTGGTATTAAAGGTGTGTGCCAGCAACGCCCAGCCCCACAACCCAGTCTTATAGATGCATTTTCTAGCTTGAGGCTCCCTTCTCTCTGAAGACTCTAGAAATGTCAATTTGGCATAAAACTAGCCAGCACACCTACTTTAGCCATCTTGCCAGCACTGTGTCTGTCCATGTATACTGTTAGGGAGGACACTACTGAAACATTGTTCCTAACCTCCCCACTGGTTTACCAAGTCCTTTAGACAAGAGGGCTAACTAGTGACTGAGCAAGTGGGAATAGCCCACAGAATAAATACATGGGGATACAAACAAATTAGTGTTTATTGGATTTTTGTGCCCCTTTCCCCATAATTTTGCCAGCGGATGGATGAAAGCCAGATTTCAGTAATTATATTCCAGTAGTCTCAGGTGGGAAAAAAATGTCAAATGGCTAGAAAGAGACCAGAATTGGCCTGGGCTAAGGTGGCCTCAAGGCAAAGACAGCAGGACAGTGGGGTACTGAATAGCCTGTCCCATACCTCCACGGGGGGCTGATCCTGAGAGACCCCTAGAGCCTTGGCCCGCCCCTCTCCCCATTCCCATCAGGGACGGCTCTCTGGGAAGAAGGCAGGTCAGGAGCCTGAGTGACCTTTCACACCTCAGACAAGCTAAGTTTGTTTTCTGCCTTTCTGTCCAGGGCTCAGTTGGGGGGGCTGGGGAGGATGGGGTGGGCCTTTTCCATTCTCTTGGTACAAATACCCCAGAGGAGCTGAAGTGGAGGGAGTAAAGGATCTATTTATTTTGGCTCAGGAGGGACAATGTAAGCAGATGGTCTTTGATGGGATTAGCGGCGTAATCTCTAAGACCCTGGTAAATTGGAAAATGATCCATTATATTCCAGAACCTTTGGCGGCTTCAGCTCCTGGGGAGGGAGGGGCAGGCCGAGGGGCACCTTGTTAGAATGGACCCCTCTGGGAGCAGTGGAATCCCGCTCTGGAGAGCTTGGGGGAGGCTCTTTAGGCTGTCTTCCTTGGAGACAGAAAGGAAGACGCGGCCTCCAACCTCACTTTCCTTCTGCACGCGCTGGACAGTCCTCACACCCTTCTAGCAGCCCCGGGATTGGGAGTGGGACGGGAGTGGGGAAGATTCCAAAGTCTGCCTGTCTCAAGATCTCCATCCTTGTTGTCCCCATCTCCAAAGCCCATAGCCCAGTCCCCTCTCCCACACTGAAGATCCCAGGGAGAAAGCCTGCTACTAGTGTATGGGATTGGGAAACTGGAAGGAACAGGAAAGACATAGCAAACTGCCCTAGCCCAGAAGGGCTCCCCTTCTTATTGAGCTCTCTCCAGGTGCCAGGCATGGTGGGATTGTGGGTGCTGATAGGTTATTTGTGTGCCCCATTTCAACTGACTTCTTGCAGAAAGTTATCAGAAAGTTGGATGCACAGAATTTGAGGTGTGCACTGAGTGAGCAGGCCCTGGAAAGCCTGGAGACAGGGTGTATGATTCACCTGGGGTCATCCAGGTTAGCAGGGGACTGAGAACCTCCACACTGTGGCTTTTCTGCTTCTGTGTCCTGGCACCTCCCCCTACCTCGAAGCTCTCTTATGTTCTCACGCTCCTTTTATTAGACTCCCTGTCTTTCTAATACAGAAACATACTATGAACCATAAATCTGTCTATCCCATGAGTTATATAATCTGTACAAGTGTAATAGTCTTATTTCTCTCATTCACCTTTAACTCTCCCATCATTACAACATCATTCTGTAAAGATCTATTCATGTTGATAAACAAATCTAAATTTACTGAACAACATCTTGTTTATCTATTTTAGCATTTTAAGTAATTTTCCATTTATTTTGTTTTGTTTAAGACAGGGTCTTCCTATGTACTTCTGGCTAACCTGGAGTTTACTATATAGATCAGGCTGACCTCAAATTTATGAACTATCTTCCTGTCTCCGTCTCTCCAATGCTAGAATTACAGGCATACACCACCATGCCTGGCCTACACATCCCAATTTATTGTTGCATCTGTTCCTGGATAGGTATTTGAGTGAATTTAATTACAGTTATAGATTTTACTTTGAGTATTAAAAACTAAAGCATGCTGGGTGGTGGTGGCACACGCCTTTAATTCTATATCACTTGGAAGCCAGAGGCAGGCAGATTTCTGTGTTCAAGACCAGTCTTGAGTTCCAAACAACAAAACAAATAAACAAACAAATAAATAAATAAGAACACACACAACAAACAAACCCTAAATCATAGAGCAACATAACACCCTGTACATGTAATCCCAGCACTTGGAAGGTATTGAGAGGCAGGAGGATGAAGAGTTCAAGGCTAACCTTGACTATATAAGGAGTTTGAAGCTTACCTGGGATATATGGACATTATCAAAAACAAACAAACAAAAAGTACAAAAAGAAAAAACTAAACATACAAAATATGTACTATTTTCACACTTCTCCAAAAATAAATTCACAAATAAAAGAAGTGGAGGCTAGGGATATAGCCCAGTGGTAGAATGTTTGCCTACCATGTACAATACCCAAAGCATCCCCTCCCCACAACACACCCAAAGGAAAGAAGAAAAAAAAATTATTAAGAAATACAAATTATTAAGCCAGGAGGGTTGCTGTGAGTTCAAGGCTAGCCAGGGCAACAAGCAAAACTGTCTCGAAATAATACTGCTGCTGGTGGTAAATAAACATAGAAAGGTAGAACACATTCAATTCCAAGGAGAAGGTACATCTCTCTGGGCTGAGCGCTTGCCTAGCAGGCTTGCCTCACTCAGCACCGCCGCTGTGAAGAAAAAAGAAAAGAAGAAAAAACAAACAAAACAAACAAACAAACAAACAAACAAACAAAAACCCCAACGTTTTAGAGAGTGTAGATTCTAAGAGATGCCTCAGGCAGAGGCCCTGAGAGGAATCTGACTCCTTACAGCATTTTATGTCAGGCTACTTCAATGTACCATGATTTTTTTTTATGTCATTTTTAAAAGAGCGACACTATGCCATGTATATTTATCTGAGAGAAGTTGACAGGGATTCAGAAGCAGGGTAAAGGCAAAGAGGAGGGGCAGCAAGGGACAGTCATCCACCCAAGCCTAAACACCTGCCACCTTACCAAACGGAAAATCCACACTGCATTCCTGAGAGAGTGAGAATAGCCCAGCTCAGGTACAAGACCCCTACCACCCCGCCACCCCGCCACCCCGCCACCCCGCCACCCCGCCACGCAGCTTTCTCCCGCCGCGTTGTGCGTTGTCCGTTTAGGAAGAGGTTCTGAGCCGGGCTGGGGCAGGGCAGTCGGTGCTCTCCCCACCTGCCCCGCCCTAGGCGTTCAGTCACCCCAGCCCGGTCCCCTGCGGTTCCCAGGGCCCTCAGCAGACGCGAGCGAGCGGCCCACACCCACTCGCACTAACATCCTTCGTTTTGATGTGGTCCAGAACTTTCTGGGAACAAGTCTACTGATCCACCAGCTCAGGGTTGGTCTTACGAGAACTGTCACATTTATTCAGTCTTTTCTTGCAGGAAGGGCTGCGGGGACTCAGACCAGACCCCGGGAAAGTGGTCTCGAGCCCGCCGTGGCGGCAGTCCCCTCACCCAACCCGATGGCCCGGAGCGTCACTCAGGTTTAGGGGAGAATGAAATAACGCAACGTTAGAGTCCCGGTTGCTAGGGTGTGGGGGCCCGGGACACGGTGGGCGCCTCCAGACCCCGTGCAAGCTCGCAGAGCCACCTCCGGGCGTCCGCTCGCTCGCTGAGCCTAGCCTTGGGAAGCGGGCCGGACACCCCGCGGGGGACGCAGCGTCCGGGGAAATTGGGTTGCTGGGGACGAAAGCGCGGGAGCGACGACGGTCCCGGCCCTAAGTCCTTATCCCTTATCCCGGGGCCAAGCCTGTGGGTCACGACCTGGACAGCGGACACCGAGGGGCGCCACTGGCGCCGACTTTGTAGCTGTCCGAGAGTTCGAGCCTCTGGCTGTCCTCTCGCACCCACCGCGCCCTGGGCTGGGGCGGCCCCTGGCGCTCTGCGATTCGTCCGAGCGAGGTCTGGGGTGCGGCGAGAGCGAGCAGACTCCCGCTCCGCCACCACGCCCTGTCGAGGCCCTTCCCAGGGAAGGTTCCTCGCCCGCCCCCTCCACCCAGCCCAGCCCGGCTTTCTGCGTGGAGTTCTAACCTAAACGTGTCTGGTTGTCTTTCTTCTTGCTTCATTTAACATCATTGTCTCTTTTGTTTTAATGTTTTGTTTCTTATCTGTTTCCAGGTGCCCTTCCCTGCCCTGTCTCTCTATCATCCACTTGCTCCCAAGAAATCCGGGCTCTTTGCTCTTTGATTTTCTTTCGTCTCCACTTCAGGGACAGGATTCTCACGGAAACCTACATACTACATTGCAGCGTCTTCTGTGAGTGCAAGCAAGGGAGAACAGATGAACAAGGGACAGCCTCCCACCCCTACCGCATGCTTGCACCCAGACTTCACTCTTGTACCCAGAGCACCTAGCATGTCCAGGCGGGCCCATGCTGCACGCGGGCTTCATTACATGGACTTTGATGAATGCAGAAAACTGAGCCATATAGAAAGGCCTGCAGACTGCTCCTGCCCGCTCTGGCCTAGGACAGAGCTAGCAGTAACTGGGACTCCTGGCGGGAGGGGGGCTTCAGTCCCACAAGCCCTTGCACTTGCCCTTACACCTAGTTACCTGGGAGCTCCACAGCCAGCTGAAGCCAATTTTCTGCGCGCCCGTGTGTGTGTGTGTGTGTGTGTGTGTGTGTGTGTGTGTGTGTGTGTGTGTGTGTGTGCGCGCGCGCGCACACACACACACACACACACACACACATGCACACACTAGCAAGTCACATGAAAGCCCCAAACTGTACACACGGAACATGATTGTAGGTTCGATCGTGATACATATATACCCATCAGGACACACAGGCTGTGCACTGACTGAGAATCTAAGTGAGGCACAGACAGACAAACCTGATTGCTCACACCCAGTAAGGGGCCTCTTTCAGTTTCAGGGTTAACTTAGTGGTCACAGTGACACTGGGGACAGAACTTGGAGAGAAAAGGGGCAGAGCACCCACATATACCCACCCAGATTCATCTCCTCTGCCAACACTGGGACTGGGGCTGGAGGAGCTGCTCAAGGGTGCCACCAAAACCCAGAAGAGTACTTAGATTTAGAAGTGAATTTCTGACCTAGAAAATTCTGCCTACCCAGTCTGCTCTAAGAAAGTCAATGGACTTTGCATTTGCCTGCCAGGAGGAATACTATCCCTCCTGTATCAAACACAGAGCTAGTGTTGGTCCAGAGTCCCCATATGGAGGTCTCTTTATTCGAAAACAAACAAGAGATTCGTGTGGTTCTAGGGATAAAGTAATGTGTGCAGGTGTATGGGCCCTGACACACGGGCAGGGAGATGGAGAACAGGAGACTCCTCTCCAGCTTCTGGGGATGGATAACAAGCTGGCATGCTAGCCTTTGCTTCTCTTGTCCCAGGATGGAGGAGACTGTGTGGTTATGGGGGTTTATCATTGATCCTCATAGAGTTGACATATGAATCAAGCGACTGAATGAGGGAATTTGGGAGAGACTCTGAGAGTGAAGGGCTGTCTGAGTTATACCTCCAGGTCTCAAAGGCACATTTCAAAGTCTCGGTAGCCTGACAGATGTATACAGATGACGCTGGATGAAATACAAATGTGGTCACAGGTTCAGGAGCACCTGCTCCACAGAAGTCCTGCACAAGACCAGCAGTGTGCCGTTCCTGGCCTGCAATCTAATAGTTGGGAGGAGTGGTAGGTGAGAAGAGAGGGCACAAGATGATTTTCTTGCATACACAGCTCCAGAGATTTGGGGTTTAATTATCACATGAAAGAACTTCAGAGGTAGGAAAGCATATAGACCCTAAGCTAGCTGCCCCCCACCCTTTGTGGAGCCAGTGTGGGAAGGCATTCTTCCATTATCCAAGTGACTCCAGATTGGTAGAGAATGTGCTTGGTGTGACATTGCAAATCTGCTCTCCAGTCTCTGGACTGAACCGAAGGAAGGACAAAGCAGAAGTAGGGGTCCTATCCCAGCTCTCCCCTGTTCCAGCTCAGTCCCGGAGCTGGCTGACAATCTGGGCAGTTGCTCTGTCCTTGGCTGGGTTTCTGGTGCCTCCCAACAGCTTTTCTCATTCCATAGGCAATAGTCCGCCCCAGTTTTGTGTCTGTTTCCCCGTTTTCCGTCCTCCTGCCTCTGCCTTTTCAGCTCTTCCTCTTCCCTATGCTTCAGCTCTTCCACTCAACATGACCATAAGGAAACTGGCTGGATGCAGGAGCGAAGGCCAATGCACACTCAAGGAGCCTGTGAAGTTGTGCGCGTGTGAAACACAGGTCCATTTTTTGGAAAAAAAACTGAGGTTGTTTCCATTACCTCTTTTTGGCTCCTGCTTCTTTGAATATTTACATGCATTTCTCTCAGGGACATTTCAGACCCTTCCCTTAGTGCAGTGACTCCCCGAACCCCACCCCCCAGTGTTGCTTTTGTAGAGCATGACTTCATTGGCAAGGGCTTTTTAGATGCCAGATGGATGGGCAAAGAAAGGGAGGGGGACAGAGATACCTCCAGGGATCTCAAAAGAAGAGTTTGGGGGCATCTGGAGAGGGCATAAGAAGTAAAGAGAAGTAAAGGATTTGCTGCACAAGCCTGGTGGCCGAGTTCAATCCCTGGGACCCACGGCATGGAAAGAGAGGACTAACTCCTCCAAGTTGTCCTCTGACTGTGTACAAGCAGTGGCAACCCCCAGTGTTTAAGAAAGAAAGGAAGGAAGGAAGGAAGGAAGGAAGGAAGGAAGGAAGGAAGAAAGGAAGGAAGAAAGAAAGAAAGAAAGAAAGAAAGAAAGAAAGAAAGAAAAAACCAAGATAAATGTAATTAAAAAAATCTAAAGAGCTTTGGGATCAATTCTAAAGAGACACTACCTCAGGAATTGGAGGCTCCTTCTGAGCAGGGTGGAAACAGGGTCTGATGTCACTCTGGAAAAGTCCATAGCCATCCAGGGCCAGCACCATCCTCCCAGCAAGGGAGAGGAGGACAAGTCCCACCCAGCCCAGCAAGTCCTAGAAATAAGTCAGGGAAATCAACAAAACCTGGAACTATCTAGCCTCTCATTCTGGGTGGTGTAAAGTCCCAGTAACAGGGTTGGGGGGATAGTGGCACCTCCTCAGAGATGAGGAACCACTGGCTGATCACAGAGAACTGGGGCTGAAGCTATCACAGGAGCCAAGAGAGCTCTCCACCCCAGCGCTGGCAAGAAAGGCTCTCAGGTCAGCCTTGGTGCTGGTTTGTATGCATGTGTTGATGACAATGAATAAATCCTTCAGAGGTGCTGTTTGGGGGTCCTGGCCACTTACCAGGTACAGAAGGAGAAAGGGTTTGATAAGAGATGGCTCTGGAGGCTTAGTTTCCAGGCCTGCAGTGGATGTGGAGGTGTACCCCCCCCCCAGCTCAGCCCAGATATATAGATTTTTTTTGTGTTCTCCTCAAATCGAGCCTGGCTTCTCACTCCCTATGAACCATTCTGTCTCTATCTTTACCTCAAGGCTGTCCCTGTCTTGAGGCCCTGTTTCTCGCTAGTACCTCACCCCCTTTGTTCATTCAGTCTCCATACTGATTCTCTCCCTATTCTTCCCGAATAAGTAAAACGAGGAGTGAAACCTTCTTGCTGGCTTTCATTTTTGCCTCCCCCCCCATCTTTCCCACCTCACCCCCTCCTCCAAGGCTACAGTTCCCTCTCACAATGTCAGACAATTGCTGGTACGCAGCTACAAGAGGAACCAGAGCTTATACCAGGGAAAGAGAAAGGGAAGAGAATAAATAATAATTTGCCTCCATTCAGTGTATATAGGTTGCCTGATTTGCATATATGCTAATGATGCTACAATTACCCTGCTGTTCTGGCCTAAGCTCAAGTTCTATAAATACATATGATAGCAGAGATAGGCCTTGCAACTCCACCCCCAAAATGATCAGGCACACATATGTATCTGTGAGCCTGTGCTCTAGCCTACCAGCCTTCTTTGTTATTACGTGCTGTCTTCTGGCTTTCAGCTATCCCTTCCTATGCTTTGAGGCAATTCCAAGCAAGGAGGAATGAGAAAACATTCTGAGTTACAGTTCAATCTTAGTATTAATGCCATTATGAATAGGATGGTTATTTTCAGGAAAAGCAAAAATTTCCCCACACTATTGAATTAGTTATTCTCTTCTGAATGTCCCCCATAGATCCACCTTTTGAGGTACAGGTTATGAGCCAGGAAGAAGAAGACAATATGTCCTGGGCCTAATACGATTTTCCAGAAAGTGTCATCAGGGGAGAGGACGTGGAATGCCTAGTCCTACGCCTGTCTCCCCTAGCGAGAGCCCGGTCTAGCAGGAGCTAGGACCAGGATACACAGGGGGCAGATTTGTGGGTGAGGAAGAAATGGGGCGGAGGCTTGGAGCAACATAAAAGACGATCCACAGCTGTCTGCTTTTAATTATAATTATCCCCTTTCGCTTCCTTTCTGGCTAATGAGGGGGGATTTAAATTTTTCCCCTTTTCTCCCCCCGTCTTTCGATAGAATCGAGGGTGGGGTGAGTGTGGTAGGGTCCTCCCCTTCCTTCCCTAGCCCCTGGTTACTGGGGGAAAGGCAAGCTCCAGAGGGTGGCGACAGTATGAAGAGATCGTAGGAACAAAAGAAGGACAGGTTTGGATTGCTGGACACGTCCTCCTGGAGTTGGAGAGACCCCCCCATTCCATTGGCACCCCCTCCTATCAACCCCCCAGCTCCCTAGACAAGGACTCAGTGTCTTCCAGCCGGTGAGAAAGGAGCTAACGGGAGCCTGGGCTAGAGGAAAGGGGAGGGGAGGGATGGGGTGCAAAATTAGTCTCAAAGGATCTTTATTTCTGAGCTAGTGAAGCAGATGTAATCAAGGGAGGGTGAAATAATCATAATGGGAGGGTGGGGGAGGGGCAGCTGGGCTGCAGTGGGGAGACTGGGTCCAGACAGGCCTGGGAGTTGGGGGATAGGGGACTCGGAAGGGGGGCAGCCTTTTACTGGGGAATGGGGAAGGGCCACTGTCAGAAGACTCTGCCACTTCAACCCTCAGGATCCCTCCTTGGGGCTTAGGGATGCCTGGGCCAGAAGGTGGCTGGGAAGGCACCGGAGAAGAAAGCCCCCTCACACGCTCCCCACCGGAGGAAAGTAGTGAGGAGGGAGGCTGAAAGCCGAGGGGGAGGGGGGAGCCAGCCAGCAGAGACTCAAGTGGCCTCCAGATCTGTGGGACAAAAGTTGGAGGGAGATTTGTGTGTGTGAGAAGGGAAGGGGGCCTTGGGGAGGGGGGGCTTTGACAATGAACTTGAGACAAACTTCATTAGCATGCAGGCCTGCTGTCTGTCACTTTGAGCTCAGACTGAGTTCCCATGCAGTCCAGGAAGAGAGGGAGGGAGAAAAGGGGAGGGGCTGAGAGTGGGGGGTGAAAGAAAAGAGCTCCACCATTGTACCATTGGGGCCTCACCTTCCACCAATGTTAAACCCTAGCCCTGGAAACCAACCTCCGAATCATTCTTGTCTTCTAAGAACAAGATAATTTATCTCCCACTTTGAGCCCGTGGTCCCACCCCTCCTGTCTAGACATCCAAGAGCTGGTGGTCCCTGCCCCTAGTCCAGTCCTCAGCCTTTATCTTCCAGTGGCCACTTACTCTTTCACAACCAAGATTTAAATTTGTGATTAATCCAGGTGTTGGGGCTATGTGGCCAGAAGAGTTTGGGGAAGGAGGGACTAAACACCCCGACCTCAAATGGCAAATGATGTCTTCTGTAAGTCCCTGTGAGTCCCACTCTCCACATGTCCCCCACATCCAATCAGAGCCTTAAGTTCAAAAGTGAATTAAAACTCAAAGAAGCCTGGGGACAGGGACAAGGGTGCTTCTGTCATTCATTCTTTTCTATGTTTCCTTGGGGACAAGGGTGGCCTGGAGGAACAATAGTGTCCCTTGGCCCCTTCTTCCTGCGTCTGGTTAGAAAAGGCAGTGGGGATTACAAAGACACACACACCCAGGCTTGAGAAGGCAGGAGGAGGCGCCTCTGACGGGGCAGGCTGTTATTTTGGTGGTGATCATGGTTTCAGATAGGGGCAGCATCCCCCTTTTTCCTGGCTTTCCAGGGAGAGCAGCAAGAGAAAGAAAGAAGCAAACGAAATTCCTGAATGGATAGGAGATGCTACGTCAGCGGTACCGGAGTCTCATCCTCCACTCCACAAGAGAAGAGCTGGGAGAGACCCGCGGCGGCGCAGCCACGCGCCAACACCAGCTTCGTTGCCTCCTCCTCACAGAGGCAAGGTAAGTAGCCACTGGGGCCCAGGGAGGGTCCTAAACCCGGCAGGCATCTGGGCTGGGGTTGGAGAGTAGCAGAACCTTATAAAAATAAATAAACGACTCCAAGCATCCAAACCTAGCCTTCCTCCTGGCTAATGGAGGCTGGTACCACAATCACAGAAAGGAAAGCTGGTAAAGATTTGGGAGGGTCTATAAAAAGGAGGCAGGAGACAAGGAGGCGTGTGTGGAATTGGCCTCTTGCCCACAGGTTTTCACCCCGCTTCCCGGGTATCCAGAGCATCTATCCATCGGGAGCTGGAAGCAAGGGCTCTGCCCCAGGCCAGAGGCCCCTGATCTCTCCCTACCCAGCCCCTGCCAGCCCAGGGCTCAGTAAATCAGTCAATGAGATTGGGGGTGGAGGGTAGGGAGGGTCACAGTGCTACTGATCCTATTAATCCGCCCCTCCCTTCACTCCCCCGGACACGGCCAACATCTTAATGCTGTAGAGGAGAGGGATGGAGTAGAGGGGAGAGGGGGACGAGGGAAATGGCTCTGAATCTGGACTCCTGGTCCTCTTCCCTGCTCTACCGTATTCCTCTCTGTCCCAGAGCCTGAGCTTTACGGGGAGAACAAGTCTGGTGGGACTTTGGGGAAGAGGAAAGGTTCAATATTTCCAGGAAGGTGAAAACCAGAATTGGCGAAAACCCCAAAACCATTTTACAGGATTTCTATTAATTTCATTCTTCTTCACCCCGTGGAAAGGACGTGAGGGGCAGATGCGGGGCTGGAGGGGCTCTCACCCTGCTGTCTTCACATTTACCCTCCCAGAGCTGTTCTGTCTTGGAGTGGCTTTTTGTCTTTAATCTTTTTAAGAGGACAAGAATGCAAGGAAGAAGAACCCACTCTCCTCCCCTCAATCCCCACACAGGCTGGGATCCTGTGGAGCAGTGGAGATTAGAACAGAAACAGCAACCTGGTGCCCTAGAGGCTAGGCTCCTAGGAGAAGCTGTCAGTGGCCATACATGTGTGCACACATGTTCTTAGGTTGCCCTGTGTGAATGAGCACTGAGTAAGCCTGGGGTGGGGTGGCTGGGCAGCAACCCTGAACGCTGCTCTTTGGATCTAGTCAAAGGGGTAGGTCAGTAAATGGGGGAGGGTACTCTGGGATAGCAGTTTCCGACTGAGACTTTCTCCCTCAGAGTCTCTGGGCCGGAGCAGCTGAGCTGGGTCAGTTGAGCACTCCTGAGTGTGGGAAGCAGGAGGCATGAGGAACGCTCATTCCTACTCCCTAGCTCCTTTTTCCCTCCCAAATTCTTCTTCATTTAGGTCTCTCCCTAATTTAAAAAGAAAAAAAAGAATTAGTATGGAATTGCATCAGAGTGTTTTAGGAGTTACCTATGATGTTTCCTAAATCCTAATGTAAAGAACTGGATGTAAAACCTGGAGAAACACTGAAATACCTATGGATCCCCACACCAAACATTAAGTAATAAGTACTGCTCTGTATTCATGCCTTTTGTGTACACGAAAAGGAGAGAGAGAAAAAAAACTGAGATTCATGGCATGTCTTTCTGGATCCTGAGAGATAGAGGATTTGAAGACGGAGATGGGCAGGGAAAGGAAGGGAGATGATATATAGGATTGTGGTTGTAATGATCTCGTTTCCTTTTTATTTTTTAAGATAAGGTGTTGAACTTTTTTGACCCTCTTGCCTCAGTTTCTTGGGTGCTGGGATGACAGGTGTGTGCAGCCACCAGGCCTAGCCAGCCATGGCTGAGGATATCACCAGTTCAGGCAGCACTTTACTGTTTATAGTACAGACAGAAATCTGTCCCCAGCCCAGGTCCTTCATTCCACACACCTAGGCACTGTGATAACTCCGTGAGGAGAGGGTGGTAGTCTTTTGGTTGCTGTGAGAGAGCCCCTCCAGGTGGGTTCACTTGGGGGAACTGGGCCTGAAGGTCTGGGTGGAGCTGTGGAAGAGTGGAGGGAGGTGAGGGGAAGGCAGTGAAGTCGAGTCACCCAGCTGACAGACAGACCTGGATTTGCCCCATCTTTTGTTGGCCTAGCCAGGCAGCCTTGAGCCCCCCCATTGAATTGGGGAGCAAAGGGGGAAAACTGGGGTGACTTGCTGATGGTGAGGAAGAGGACTGAACTCTGTATTCTTCCTTCAACAGGAGCAGTCATCTAGAAGCAGCCTCCTTGTTCATCTGTTCATCGTTCATCGATGTCATCATAGGTGGCCGACATCCCTGGCTTTGGGGTATTTATTTCCTTGCTTGCTTGATGGTGGTGTGTGGGGGGAGGAAGAAAGGAAGCTAGTCCTGTTCCTCTGGGTGCTCTCCCAGCTCTCCACCCTACTTACTGTCTCTTTCCAGTCTCCAGCCTCTGATTTTGGTCTATTTTGTAGGGTGACCTGCATTGTCAAAGCTAAGAGGCAATGCACCAACACAGCCTGGGGACAAAAGGCCACTCTGTATCTGTATCTGGTTAGGTGCAGAGAGGGAAGGTATTGCTCTGCAAAACATAGTCCCTTTTCCTCCGTGGGAGGGAAGAGATAGAGGAAGGGGGAGGGGAGTGGTTGGTTTTAGAAGGGGACAGGGATGACACCGGGGTCACAGGTGGGCCAGAAGAGGAGTGCATGTTGGAATCAGTGGGGCTCCCAGGCCCTTAAATAGCTGAGTGGGTGGGCATGCAAGGACACATACTTTTGAGAACTGGGAAGTAATACTGCTAGGCTTGTCCATGGATTTACCACTAAATCTGTCTGCGTTTGTGGGTGTGAGTGTATGTCTGTGCTTGAGTGCTTTTGACCACAGAAGGTCTTCTAGAAAGAGCCTGATATGGATGAATAAGCTGACAGCCCCCATCTCTGTCACCTTGTCTCACCTCCCTGACACTGTAGGAATAGGACAGTAAATGAGTCTGTGGCGGGGGGGGGGGGGGGGGCAGGAGTAGCTGGGCAGTAGTGTTTACACAGGCTAGGAATTCTTCTACTCTTATGGTCCTCAGTGGCCATCTCCTGTAGATTATCTCCAGGCAGCCTAACCTCATCTTTGCATATGGCTAGACTTAAAAAAAAAAAAAAACATTATATACCATTTTAACTGCCAATTGTTTAATTTGCCACAATTCTATAGATATTGCAAATATTCAATAACAGAATGCTGTTTAATAGTGGTGATAGTAATTAGCTTCTGCTTCAGAAATAAGTTCATCCTCCAATGAAGCTTTTGCCTGTATCTTCAAAGCAAATCCACCTTGCAAACAAGGGAAAATTATGTTTTTATTTAACTACCTATTTTTAAAAAGTGCTTTACTGGCAAAGTATACATAAGGAGTCAAAAGGCTGCATCCAGATAGCATAACCATGTTCCTCTCTGTGTGGGCCCTTCAGACACATAGACAATAGGTGGGTAGCTCAATGCTTGGGCACTTACCTAGTATACATTGAGTCCAGGGTTTGGTCCCAGGGACCCTAAAGAATGAAGGCTCCTGGGATACACACAGACTGTCTTTAGCATGAGGAGTTGGGATATTCTCCCCAGAATTCCCCAAGAAGGACTCACAGCGAGGTCCACAGGCCACCAGAGAGAAGGCTGCTTTGTGCTGAGAAAACAGAAGGCTCTGCTCCAGCTGAGACCCTCTTTTAGGAGACTGAGGCTGGTGAGCCAAGCTCACCCTCTGGAACTATTGTGCCTAGCTGTGAGTCCCACAGACCTGCTGCCTCCAGTGGGTAAATGGGTCTCCTCTGACACAAGCATGGCTCTCAAATAGTCTGCATGAGCCTTACCTATTTTTTCCTCTATGTGGACAAAGACTATGTCAAAAATCCTCCTTGTTCTTGAACTTTTGAAGGGGTTTTCTTGTTTACAACTGAAAGAGCAACCTATACACAGACTGATCCCAGTTAAAAGGAGCAAAGAGGCTCCCTTTTGCACTGGCCTGAAAGTACCACTCACCTGCACCCCTGAAAATGAGCAGTGGGATGCTGGCTTGTTCTGTGAACCAGGACAAAAGTTGCTTCCTCAGGCACTGGGCAGAGGTGTGTATTCTATGTGCAGTGGGCCAGGGCAGCTGAGACTAGCCCCATGTTCTTTTGTGGGGCATCTTCTCCTTAATTTAGATACTCTTACAATGAACTGCCCTTGAAAAGTTCAAAGCCACAATAAGAGCCAGAAGGGCTTTAGTCTGTATCTGCTGTGTGGGGAGCATTTTCAGGACCCAGCTAAGTGTGCTTATTTCTTCCTTAAGGTTAATTCTAAGAAAGCCCAGTTGAGTTCGAATTTGGCCATTAGGAATATGGGGAGGGAGTGGACATCGGGCAAGGAGACCTTTGTGTACTCTTCCCTTTCCAACAAAAGTAGACCAGCATTGAGAGGAAGGGTTGGACTGGTCCAGCTGCCTCTTACCTCAGGCCTGCAGACTCCAGGGGTCCCTTAGAGGGCAGGGAATGAGGAAAAATTGTGAGAAGGAAGGGGACTCTTTTAGCTAGCAGACAAAGCTCTTTCTCTGGAGCTGACCCCAACCTCTACACTTTTAGGTGTTGGAAAGGGGGGAAGAGGAAAGAAAGGTGCTTGGGGGGTGGTTGTATGGTTTTGTGGAAAGAACAAATGTTCTTGGAGTGATTGGCCAGCTATATGGAGAAGTTTAGCGTGCATGGGATGTGTGTGTGTCAGGCATCCTGTGAAAGGGTGTGAGGTAGCCTGAAAAGAGATATTCAAGGAGTTGTGGGCATGGTGGAGAAATATGAAGAGCCTTATGGGGATGGACTTAGGGACTGCATTTAGCACCATACTGGAGGGGGGCTGCTTACAGAGCATTTGGAGAGAACTCACCTTTCTCTGCAAGTATACCAGAGCCTCTGGGAGCCTCCAACCCCTCCAGACACCCCTGAGCTGTAAGGGCATGTGAGGGGCAGGAGGAAACAGTGTCCTTTCCATCCTTACCATTGGCACCGCACACTCCTAGCTCTGGAATAGGGAATAGGAAAGTATTCAGGCTATCAAAGCTTCTAGAAGCCTCTCTCTTAGCTGGGTTTGGTGGTACAGGCTTGGAATCTGAGCACTTGGGAGACTGAGACAAGATGATCAAAATTCCAAAGCCAGTATGGACTCCCGTAGGTTGAAGGCTAGCCTGAGCAGCCTAGCGAGAATGTCACAAATAAAAAGTAAGAGAATTGACTGGGGAGAAGGCTCAGCGGTAGAGGGCTTGCCTGGTCTACGTGAGGGCCCGAGCTTAATTTAATTCAGTACCTAAATTAATTAATTAGCCTCTGTCTTGGAAAAGAGCCTTTAGACACTAAAGAGATTTGACAGAGAATTCTGCCTAAACTTGGCCCTGAGAATGTGCCTCCACACTGGAGCGATCTGGCCATTTGCTTCTGCTTGCTATCACCATCCTAGCAGGAAAACAGCCTGTGGGCTTTATCTCATTTCACACCTGCCCCACCCACATCCATTGCCAGCATTAGTGGCAATGAATAATCAGACATTCTCCTGTTTTGGGGAGAAGCATCAAGTCAGACCTACTAACCATCACCTTCCATCCAAGCAAGGCAAACCGCACAGGGAGGTCTGGCTTTGTCTTGGAATGTCCGTGGACTAACAGATAGAAAAATCTGGACAGGCTTGTTCATTAAAATGATGGGACCCTGAATGTATTGCCACTGTCTAGTGTTTTGGGGTCCCTGGTCATGGCTGGCTGATATTAATCTGATTTGGGTACCTGGACCAGTTTTATAGAAGGGATCAGCAGAGGGTGGGTAGGAAGAGGGAGGGGCTGGCAGATGTGATGGCTCCTGGGGGCCCATGGTTTGCTTTGAGAACTTCACTGTAACTAGAATCCAAATTTTGTCGAAGAGCAGCTGGCTACTTCCCTGCTTTTCTGCTTCTGCTTCTTCATCAGCAGAGAGAAGGACAGTTTGGCTGGACTAGAGTAGAGCCAGGTGAAGAAAGTTGATGATGGGGACTTGAGTTTTGCTGGAGCCCAGCTCTAGAGCCAGCACAGTGGTACAGTGTAGCCTGGGGGAACTGGGGCACAGGGAAGGAAGGCTTCTTAAAGGCCTCCAGGGTTGGGGCCATATTCCTAGTCTCAAAAGCGGCTAGGATCCTCGGCTATGGTTATTCTTCCTCTTGTGTAGAAACTTAATACTGCTAATAGGTTCAAGAAACGACCTCCTGGAATACACAAATGGGCTGCCTTTGCTCACCCATTGTCTCCTAGCAGGAGATTCAAACTGCAGAACCTTTCCTTCAGTGTTTTGAGTTGAAAAACCTTGAACAAAAGAGATCCATACCTTCCCTAAATATTAGGATCACAGTTTGGGAGGGATTCGAACTCAAAAGGAATCCCCTAATAGGAGGTGGCTGGGACCGATAGAGTCTCTAACCTCCCTGCCACACCTCCCCAGTGTTGAGATTACAGATCATTCCTCTTTGAGGGAATTTTCCCTAATCTGTTTTCTATCTTTGCGCCTTGGTCGTGGTGCCACGTACTACGGGACCCAAATGGAAGATGCAGGACCTACAAGAAGAGCGAGGGTAGCCATCAGAACCACAAATGGCAATGGGTTACAAACGTGGCAGGCGGGTAGTAGATGAGGCAGCAAAAGGCTGAGGATCCACACCAAGACCTTGGTTCCCTCACCCCCCACCCCATTCTCTGGAGGAGGGGCACCCCAATTGCGAGCCTGAGACTGGCTTGGGGAGGACGGGGGCAGGGATGGAAGGGGGGGGGGAGAGAGAAAAACGAGGCAGTGACGTCAGACCAGGTATAGCCAATCAGAGACTGGCCTGAGGAAGGAGTGTGAAGGGATGAATGAAAAGTCCGGAGCCTGAGAGCGCCCCCGCCAGAGCAGCGGCCAAGGCTGAGGAGGGAGCTGGGACTCGACACCCCGCTCCACCCTGCCTGCTCCGGCTCGGCCCCGTCACCTGGTAAGCCCCGGTACCCTCGACTCACGTCCGGGGAGCTGCCCGGGTGGGAATGCGCCGGAAGACTGCGCAGGACAGCAGCACCACTGGGCACCCTGGGCTTGATGTAAGTGGCTTGACCCGCGTGGGGCACGAGGTGGGGAAGCGCCTCAGAGTCCAGCGCGCGTCCGCCACCTGCGACCACAGAGCCCCACACCCTCTGTGCGACCCCTGGACCTCCTTCCAGTCGGTTCAGTCCAGATCCCCCCTACCTATCCCCGTCAACAACTAAGGGCATCTCTCGTTCAGATCCCCGGCAATTTTCACATCTCTGGGTTATTTCGGCTGCTTTTTGTATAAAACCGACTCTCGCGGTTCTGTGGGTTCAGAGCTCGGCGCATCTGCTTGGCCGCCTTCTGCACACCCTGCAGCCCCAAGTCCGGACTGCTCACTCGTCTCTCTCTCTGGGTGGGGTCTTTGCCCTTGGGAGGCTGGTGGAGGAGGCTCGGTGTAACTCTCCTCCTGCCGCCAGCCACAGGCTCCCCTCTGGGCCTCGAGATTCCCCAGTGCTGGGGTTCCAGTCCCGGGGGTTCGCGGTCCTTTCCCCTCCAGACCAGCTCTGCGAGCTGGGCTCTGCCGCACCCACCAGAGGAG